CTAGAGGTGGACTGATTTTTCCTAATCTGGCCAAACCCTTCTTCTCCTCCTTCTTCTTTCTCTTCTTCTTCTCTACTTTAACCTAGAATAGTATAGGGATTTTACATGGTATCAGAGCAATAAAACCTATTTCTTTTTTCACTTTTTTTTCTTTCCTTACTGTTTGTCTTCTTCCTGGGTTTGCCGCCAACCATTTCAGCCTTCTTTGATTTTCTGCTAGCCTGAGTGGAAGCTCGACAAGGGGCCAAAAAGGAGTGGTCGTTTTGTGGTTTTGGAGGTGAGTATGCCTCCAGTTACTGTGGTGGTGGTCGTTGAGGTTGTGTACTAGATGCCCTCTATTCTGTGATACGAAGAGGGCTGTTTGTGGACAGGTATGAACAGTTATATTTTTTCTGCCCAAATAGTGGACTGTAAATGCTGTGTTTTGGTTCAAAATATTTTTTTGTGGAGGTTTGGAGTGACTAATATGCATATCAGCCTTGTTCTCCTCTGTTTTTACCTCATAAGTGTGCTGAAAGTAGGGTGTTTTGACTGCTGAAGTTCACGACAGCAGTGGTGTGGTGGTAGTTGTACTGTGTTGAATGGTGTGTGGATGATTCTGAATAGTTGAAAGTGAACTCTTGTATCTGGTGTGTGAATGGTTCTGCAGTGTGCAGTACAGGTGTTTGATTTAATGACCGAGTGATTTCAGATTTTGTATTTGATGTGCAATGTGTATTTGAAGAAGTTGGTGGTGCTGAAAGTGAAATAAACTTTGTGGAAGTGCATAAGTTGTGCTGAATATTTGAAGGTGAATTAGTTAATATGGCATTGATTGGAGATGGGAATGACAATAAAACAGGTGTTATGATTTCTCCAGATTACCTAAATGTTCAAATGACATCTATTAAGTTGAATGGTGAGAATTATGTGCCGTGGGCAAAATCTGTGGAGGTGTTTTTAAAGGCCAAGAACAAGGTAAAACATGTGAGAGAGGAGAAACCCTCATCTGATTCTCCGGGGTTTAGTGACTGGGAACAAGAAGATGCACAAATAATGACATGGCTGTGGAATAGCATGGAACCAAAAATTAGTGTGAACTTTATGTTCCTAGATAYAGCTAAAGAAATCTGGGATCATGCTAAGAAACTGTACTCCAGACAAGACAATACAACTAGGG